AGTAGTGTTATCAACAGTAACAATGTTAGTTAATTCACCATTAGTTATATCAATAAGAGCCATAAGAATAATTGAAGCATCACTATTAGGAGCAACTTCAACATCCCAACTTATAGTTTGACCATCAACATTAGCACCTTCAGTAGATCCTTCTTCAACAAATACAAGACCTTTAGGTAAAGTATCAACAACATGATAAACAATAGTAATATTATTAGGATTAGTAACAACAATAGTGTATTTTACAATATCTCCTTTAACATACTTATCTTGAGTATCAATAGTTTTAGTAACAGTAGGGTCAATTAAAGCATCAACAGTAATGGAACCATTAGTAATAGTTTTAGTAACAGTAGGAACAACAGTACCATTATCATCAAGATCTGGAGTAGGACTAATAACATTAAGAGTATTAACAATATTAGCCTCATTTGAAATTACACGAGTAGTAACATAAAGTTCAATTTCACCATCTTTAGTTAAATCATTAAAGAACCATGTAACAATACCATCACTCTCAGTATAATCACCAGTAGCAGTAACAAATGTTAAACCATCACCAATTACATCAGTAACAGTTACATTTTCAGCAACATCAGGACCATTATTTCTAACAACAATCTTCCAAACAACTATATCTCCACGATTAACTTTCTCAATAGAAGTATCATTAAGAGTTTTACTAACTGTAATATTAGCTAATTTACTTACAACAATAGAAGCATGACTAGTATTCATAGCATATTCTTGATTATATACATTCACAGTATTATTTAATGCAATATCAGATGCATCAACTCTAACAATAACTTCAATAGATCTAGTTTCTCCAGCTTTAACTGTGAAATTATTCCAAGTTATAATTACTTTATCACCAATAGTAGTATTAACATAACCAGTAGTATTTGCTGAAATGAAAATAAGTCCTTTGTCCATACTATCATTAACAACAAAATCAATATCAACAGTATTGTCATTGGTTATATTGATAATATATTTTATAGTATCATCATCAATAACTTTGGTTTGATTTGCAACTTTAGTAACTTTAGGGTTAGATAAAGGAACTACAGGAATTGGAGTAGTTGTATTAGTTTTATTTACAGTAGGAGTAACAGTACCATTTTCATCTACATCAGAAGTAGGACTAGTAACAACAACAGTATTAACAACAGCACCATTATTTTTAGTTACTTTAGTAGCAATAACAAGAGTAACAACTTCATTACTATCTAAATCTCCAATAGACCAAATACCAGTTTCTGAATTATAAGCACCTTTAGTAACACTAATAACTTTATCAAATACTAAACCATCACCTAAAATTTCTTTAACCTTAACATCACTAGCAGAATCATTACCATTGTTTGTAACATTAATAGTCCAGTTAATAATATCAGTTATTTGAATAGAAGTAGTAGGAGTAGTTTTACTAACAGTAATATTAGCTAACTTATCAACAGTAATATTAACTTCACTAGAATTACCAACATCTCTAGTAATATTACCAACAGTTACAATATTAGTTATATTACAGTTAGATTTAGTAATATTAGCTATAAGAGTAATATTTACTTCAGAATTAGCACCAACATTAACAGACCAAGTTACTTTTTTATTTCCATCCCAAGAACAAAGAATATCACTAGTATTAGTAGTACCATCTTTAACAAATACAAGACCTTCAGGTAATTCATCAACAACAGTATAAACAATAGCAATTTCATTAGGATTAGTAACAGTAATAGTGTATTTTACTAAACCATCTTTAATATACTTAGTTTCAGGAT